CTATCTCCAGAGTGAGTGCAAGCAGCAGGGGTGTTGAGAGCAGCTGCAGCTGCTTCAAGCCACCTGCAGCTCTCCCTTTCCCACGAACCTGTTGACCTTGAAGCGTGGAAAGCTGATGCTGTTCTTGATGAAGAGCGTGAAGTTCTCAGCCTCATGGAGAAGAGCGGGTCTGGGGAAGACAGCACTCACTCACTGCCCCTCTCCAAGAGGATTCACATGGCTGAAAGGGCTTGGCACTAGCAAGGATCACAGGGGTTCCCCTGCAGCGTGCATTGATGTGTGGTGGGGTTGGCCACTCTCCAGATGGGGTACAGGCTTACAGGCTCCTAGACCAGGAAGACTCATTGGCCTGGGCCATATGGACAGGGTGAGGGGTGGGATCAAAAGTATAAAGAACCCATTCTTCCAGATCCAGATGTTTGTGGGTCAGAACCCTGTCTCTAGCTTCCTGGAAGGACAGGACGTCAGTTACCTTGGGATCTTGTCATCCACCTCCACAGGACACCAGCCAAAGATTTCACAGGTCTTCACTGTGCTATTGAAGGGCACACATTTGCCTGTGCGAATACCTGTAGCAAGAGAGCAATCCCCGGGGTCCCAACCCATGGTAGACTTCTGCAGCATGGTAGCTGAGAGGCAGGATGAGAGCAGGACAGACTCTCAGTGGGGAACAGCTTAGTGAGATGTGAAGTACTGAGAGAGGTGGGCACAGGCAACGTGGCTGTGGAGGTGACGGGAAGGGGCTGGTCTTACCTTGAGCCTTCCTTTCTGCTTTACCTGGAGTGCAGCCATTGTCATCTTGGCATATGCCACCTTCTGGGTTCTGGAGGAGGGGAGAGCTGCTGTGCCTGAGCCCTATGGTGTTGTCCCGGGGAGGATTCTCTCCTACCCCACCCCCAGGGTCACAGTGTAGACGTGGAGCAAACTCTCAGATTCTGTGGGAGACCCCTGCTCACAGCCTCCTCCCACCATTTATCCTAGGTTTCTGTCCAGCTGCTGAGTGCTGGTGTACACTGGCAGGGGGACTGAAGGTTGGGATGGAGAGGCCCAATGCCCAACAATGGCACTAACAACGGCTGAGAGTTGTTTTGTGTGGCTCTGTCCAACATTGCATCATAACCTCATCAGAAAGCTTGTCCTGCATCACCACCAAGGCCCACGGGGATTCCATCACGTTATCTCCCACTGGGCCCAAGAGAGGGGCGGAGTCCTCACCTCTGCACAATAGCCTTGAGCCTGCTGAGGGGTCACGATGAAATTGGTCATAACTACAAAGGAGCTGTCCCCCTGGAAGTGAAGGGCAGGGAGAGAACAGGCAGAGTTGGTAGAACAGCCCCAAGCATCCAAACACTGCCCCAGCAGGACGCTGGAGCCCACCTGACACCCAGCAGATGCCACGTCCCATGACATCACCATGGAGTGAATGGACTAGTCTCACTGTAAGGGAGACTGAGGCCCAGCAAGCAGAAGGCTGAACTGGTCCCTTGGGGGAGCCTTGAGCCATGACTTGTGGGAGGGAGGATGCTGCTATCCTGAGCTAGCTCACCTGTGCTGGGAAGACATAGTCAGGGAGGTCCCAGACCTGAGGCCCCAGGCCCTGGAGCTGGGTCACAGCCAGCCCCTTGAGCTTCACAGACACACTGCTGATGAGGCCGCTTGAAGTCTGGTATCCCTTTTCATAGACAAACACCCACCTGCCAGGTCCGGAGAAAATGGAGTTAAGATTCTGTGCAGTGTTGGCCAGGACATCCTAGGACACAAATGGCTGTAAGAACATCTATCCTTTCTGGCATCCTCTGGACTTCCTCTTGTCTTCCTCGGAGTTTCTGAGCTTCTTTGGTTCTTAACTAGTTTCCTGAAGGCAGGACACCCTCACCTATCACCCCCTGCTGGCCTGTGTCTAAATTCCCACCACTCCAAATGCTTCAGCGGAGGCCAATCCATGCAGCTACGGACTGACTGTCCCTCCTAATCCTTTTTCCCAAGAGCTGTCTGCCAGGGCCAGCTGGCCATCTCTTGACCCCAATCCTCCTTCCCAACACCCTGTTTCTTCCCACACAATTTCCAGCAAAGTGTGAGGACTACCAAGAGTCTGGCTTTGTCTCCTAGCCAGCCCTGCTCCTCAGTGTTGGAGGGTTTGTAGTGGATCCTTCCTCTTTACCTTCCTTATCTATAAAATGGGAGTAACATTAGTACTTGTTTATGCTAAGAGAGTTAATGCAGAAAAGTTGCTTAGAATGTGGGCTGGCCCCTAGCAAAGCTGAGTAGAAGTTGTCTGCCATTACTGAGTAGAAGGTGGAAAGGAGAACGTGGGAAAGAGAAAGGAAGCCAGGATATGGGGCTAGAGACCATAACGTTCTCCCTTGCAGCATCCAGCCCCCTCCCTCAGGCTGCTGTGTAAGTGGCTCATGTTCAATCCAGGAGGTTCAGTGGGACTGACCTCACTCCCAGGGATGGGGCATACAGCCAAGGCATGTCAATCAATGCCCTGCCCCTCTAGCAGCAGTGATGAGCCTAATTGTCCTTAGAAGGGTATCAATAGCAAAGCCAGATTCTTTACTGAGATTTACTAGGAAAGAGACTTCCACTGTGCTGGGTGGCTAAGCAAGGTGGCTGTGAAGCCAACACTACCATTAGTTATTTTTGCCACCTCTAAGCAACAGCCTGAGGATGGAGCCAGGAGATGGAGAGGACCAGATTCCTGACCATGGTGCTACAGCCCCTTGTGTGGATGGGGGGATTTCTGGACTTAACTAAAACATGAGCCAATGAAGACCCTTCTGCTGTGGGAACTAGCTTAGGTTGTATTTCTGTTCCTTACACTGGGAGTTTTGTATTTCACTTCTCTCCAGGGATAGCCTATTCCTTTAGAAGAAATTGTCTGAGTAGACTCGAGATATGTTGACCACTGGAACATGTACAGCAAGCCTTCCCCAGGGAGAAGACTGCAGGTGAGTATGCTCTGCTCCCTCCATCCTTTACCTTACCTAGACAAAGAGCTCAAAGTCATCTACTCTGGGGGCAGGATTCTCCAAGCCTTAGTCCCAGAGTCACTGTCATTTCCCCGTCACAGGGAAGCAGACCACTGCCTTGTTACTTTAATCCTCTCTCCTCCGAAGCCTGCTTTGAAACCCTTCTAAGCCAAAGTGTGGTCGCTGCTGCCCCCTGCAGGCCTCAAATAGCAACAAGCGAGACACAACAAAGGTCTGGGTTCTTCTGAGGCTGACCGCCAGGCTGCCCTGCTGGGGAGCCCCTCGAGGAGAGGGGTTCCCCATTCCCACAGTGCTTTCTGTAGTCAGGCCTCTGTAGTCTGGTACCCCAGCTTAAACGGGCTGCGTTGGAGGAGGGTGTTGTTACACATC